TACTGGGGATTGAACTCAGGTCTTTGCATTTGTAAGGCAGGCCCCCAAACCGCTGAGCTAAATCCCCAGCCCAAATATTTCACTCTTTTTGGTGACAGTGGTCCAAGCTGGAGTTTTTGAATTTTAAATGTGCAGTTTATTAATACGTTGCTGTCATACCTAAAAATGACATGAATTGTATAAGTGCTCACTCTCACTGTGTCACAACATTCATCATTCAACAAGCGTTTTATACCAGGTGGGCTGGAGATAAATGACCACTTGGATTACTTCAATTCTGTTATCGTATGGCTTCTACTGCATGTTATATTACAATGTGCTCTGTAGCATATTTTATACTGTATAAACTATCTCCAAATCCTCAACATCTCATTGATGAAGACACTGGCATTAGTTTAAACCTAAGGCTAAAGCCAAACTTCTTAATTCAATAACTGGTCATTTAACTTTGGAAATGCATCCAAAATACAAACTTACATCTGCCAGCTTACAAATTCCTTTGTTTATCCATTCAAACACAGCCCTGAGAACCTTTCAGAGGAGTATAAGCTGAGTCTATTGGTCACCAGGCCAGGCCATGCTCTCTGGGAACTCAAGGTGTGACTTGATGCACCAATGAGTAGGGAGCACCAGAAGAAAGGGAGGAAGGAAATGACTTTATGAGAGTACCGCCCCACATTTGGGGAAAAGGGAAAGGCTTCTAGGAACTAGCCCTTTCTACCATGATCACTTCATAACACTGGTATCGATTAATTGGTAAGGAAAAAAGTTAAGCCCTTCTGTTGAGACAAAAGAGTAGGAAAGATTATATAACTTTTCTTTATTGTGGAAAAACACACTCTCCCCCCACATGGTACCTTTGATAGGAATCACCAAGAGTCTTGATACCTACATTTTGAATAGTGTAAATATTCAAAATAATGGTAGGTAATGGACTCTTTAGCATTTGATTTCCACCCTGTGCAAACTGCTAGATTTACCATGTTGAAAGTTCAAGACATGGGTATTTTGGAAAGCCCAGAGCATTTACACAATGCCTTTAAATTAACCTTATACTTCATAGCACCTTATAAGGTAACTCCCAGATACCCTTAGTTTTCAAATAAGCACACAGACCATGTAAATGCTAATATCCTGACCTGTGGCTGGCATGGCAAATGTGCACACATCCTAATGAAGAATGACGTGCCAGGCTGTCCACCTGGGAAGACACACTCAGCAGTAGCCTCAGGACTAAGTGACCTTTTCTGCATAATGCAACTTTGGGAGAGGAAGAGCCTGAGGCTTCCTGTAAGGAACACCTCCAATTTCAGGCCAGGGTGGGTCTCCTATTATTTGAAAATGTGAGAACCTTAGCATTTATTTTAAAGCTTTCAATAGAGGGTTTTTTTTCCCCCTTGTTGAACAAACTATAATAGTATATAAAATCCTAATGAGATAACTGACAATGTGAAATAGGAAGAAAGGGGCTAAAGGTGTAGGGAAAGTGTGGGAAGGGTAGGGGAAAGGAAATAAGGGAAAGAAAAAAAATTGGAGAAAATGAAAAAATGGAAGTAAAATGTCTGTAAATGGGGAGGAGAGGTGAAGGGAGGGCAGGGACAAGGGGAAAAAATGAGAACCAAGACCTGTCCTGTAGAGGTACAAGACCTCAATGATAAATGTAACTGTACTGTGTTCCTAAAATGTACCAATAAACTCAATGAGGAAAAGGAAAACCATTTTTAGAAACTCAGATATTTTACTAATGTCTCCCCTCTTCCCCTCGCAGAATGAAAAATAAATTAACCTTTCACTGTCACTCTTAGCTCCAATGCCTGCTTCTCAAACTTACTTGTAGATATACTACAATATTTTAATGTTTATTATTTCAAAATACATTTTTTCTAATAATGCAAAGGGTACATTCCAGCAGAACAAACTGGTGGTGCCAACAAATCTGAAGCTCAGTAAATCGCTGAGCAGTATAGTATTGGCCGATATATACCCGCAGACAAGAAGTCACCATCAGCCTGTGTGTCACAGCGGGCAGCTCGGCGGACAATCACAGAATGCATACAAGGAGAAGCCTCACTGAAAGTTTTTCTAGATTCAAAGTGAAAATCAAACACCAAGTGTATGTATTTGAAGGAAAAGAATGAAGAGAAAAGGTTTTTATTCTGCACACTTAGGTTTCATTTGACCGATGCAAGGTGTCTCCCGCACTTTTTGAGACAAACAAGGAACAAGCTTTCTAACCGTTCCTCCTAGCAGGTTAATGGGTACCTGTGTTCTGATTTCTTACACACGCTGCCTTCTCTGACTCCATGTTAAGGTGGGTTATCAGCATGGAGGTAGCACAGCAGGAGTGACCTTTCACTAATCACTGTACCTTAGCAACTACAGGCACAGCTCATTATGAAAAGGGACCCTTCAATGAGCAGCCTTTCATACAGGCATCTTTGATTTTCTTGGGAACAAAGATCATACTTTCACATAAAAGCTTGTGATGTACAATTCTGTCAACTGGTATACTAAAGTAAAAAAGGCACCTTGTTAATTTTCTGTCATTATCAAGAGACTACAAACTATATCAAACATAGGGCTCCAAATTTGGCTTTCATTATGGAGGTCAGAATATTTTTACTGAGTACCTATTAAAATTTTAGAGGAATGTCAATCATTGGCTGCCCTGCATATAGGAATCTAGTTGGTAATCCCCCAGTAATCAATCCCATTAAAAAACATTCACAAATGACACACAAAAAAATACAGTATACAGGAATTCTCATGCAAAGGTAGGACAAATACCTTAGAGCACCTGATTTCAATTTTAACACCTAAGACAGAAAACTAATAGGCCTGGCAGTTAATTGCCCTTTACTCTCATTCCCTGATTCTTTTCTTTGCCCTGTCAACCAAATAAAATTCAGACAACACACAGTCAGAAAGAAAGGCATGCTGCATGACTTACCAGCCATTTGTTGAATGCCGCTGAATGCACCCAGGTTGCTGGAGGAGGTGGCTTGCTGCAGAAGCTGCAAATGAGCAAGTGGAAAGTCAGAACAGTGTGGAGATGAAAACAGAGTAACTTCCTCATTAAAGTGAGGGAAAATTCCATTCCCTTTACTATATAGTTGGCTGCCACAGCCTGTTGATGGACTGAAGGCCCCCAGAATTGGGGCTATAAATCCACATTATGTCTAATTTCTATTAAGAAACACAGACACGGGGGAAACTCACTAACACTGCTGCCTTAAAACAATCAATTTACTCTTTTTAACAACCAGGTGTTAAATCTATTGAAACCAACATAGCGTGACTAATTATATCTCTCTGCAGTCTAGTAGTTACCGTAACTCATCTCTGCCAATCAAGGTCCATTCCTTCCTCTCCTACTTCTCTTCACAGCTCAGGGCTTTTTTTTTTTTTTTTTTTTTTTTTTTTTTTTTG